CTGTGTGTTTCTCTCTATATATATATATATATATATATATATATATATATATATATATATATTCTCAAAGCAGCTTCAATGCCTTAAAGGCCTCAGTTTGCAGGTTAAACATGACTAGCAAAGAAACAACTAAACCTCGACCTGTATAGAGGGTCCATCTTAGCAGGAAGTGTCACTTTTGCTGAAAACACAGTCAGTAACCAGCGCATATCTGTATACATATGTGTATTTCAGATTCTGTCTATGGATAAGTTGTCCGTATCAAATCAGCCGTCCTCAATTCAGATCCGCCGCCCTAGCTCCAGCACGACCAATGTTTCAGAGCCCACCCCAACATCCAAAACCCAGCAGCCGACCCCAGCACCCAGAACCCAACCCTCCCCGCGAGTGGAACCCTTGATAGACAGCAGGCCATTGGAGGACTCACCTACCCGTCTGGCTAAATCGGGGTGGAGCACGTCTAACCTGGCCATTTCTGGCTCTCAGCTACACCTACATAACAAAGAGCCGACACCCAGCATAGCGTCTGACATCTCCAATCCCAGCACCGCCCAGGAGCTCCAGAAGACAATACAACACTTACAGAAGTATGTTTGAACATTTTTAACATATTTTGACCTTTCCATCTGGTTCCATTAATGGTTTCATGAGACACCAACTCCACAACAGTTTAAAAAAATCTGTTTTTACAGTGGCGCTTCACCTGGTTTTGCTCCATTGGGTGAAATTCAGTTAACCATCAGACACAGTCCCCAAAGAAACAAACTAATTGTCGTGGTACACAGCTGCAGGTAAAGTACATGTGACTTTTGATTAATCTGAAGTATTTCAGTGCTTCTGAAAGATATATGAAATATGAAAGTATTCATATTTGTGTGTTTGCAGGAATCTGATCTCTTCTACTGAAAATGGTTCTGATCCATATGTCCGTTTGTATTTGCTGCCTGATAAACGACGCTCTGGACGCAGAAAAACAAACACGATTAAAAAAACAGTGAATCCTGTCTATGATCAAATGTCAGTTTCTTTCTTCCCCCACTTTTTTCCTCTTCCAGTCTGTTCTTGCATTTAAAAAAATCAAGTTTTCTTATTTTGCATTGAATAAAAATACACCTTTTGTGTTGGTCTTAAATACAGTGTTTGTGTGTTGCGTGCACATGTGTTTGTATAGGTTTGAATTCAGTGTGTCACTTGTGGATTTGCACAGAAGAACACTAGATGTGGCCGTGAAGAATGGAGGAGGAATTCTGTCAAAACACAGAGGGCTGCTGGGAAAGGTGACATCCCGCACTAAATAACTTCATAACATCCTTAATATTATTGTTCTTAAAGGGGTCATATGATGTGATTTCAATTTTTCCTTTCTCTTTGGAATGTTACAAGCTCTTGGTGCATAAAGAAGATCTGTATAGTTGCAAAGACTAAAGTCTCAAATCCAAAGAGATATTCTTTATAAAAGTTAAGAGTCAGCCACGCCTACCAAAAAATGGCTTGTTCTAACACGCCCCCACATATCTACATCACTATGTGGGAAGATTTGCATAACGCCGCCCAAATGTTCACGCAAAGAAAGAAGGCGTAACTTTTATTCTCGCTGTAGTATTGTTGTTGCCGCCGCCCCGATGTTGAGACGCTGTGTGTTTCGTTGTGAAAGCGAAACTACTTTATTTGGCCTTCCAAAAGAGGACGATATCCGCTTCGTCATGCCTAGAGCTGGTCTGTGCTGGTCGCTGCGGAAAAACATCAACTTCGCGCTGTGGATCGCCGGATCGGCTTTCACCGTGGACGAAGCGGAGTCCAGCCCGGGGTTGTCACGTGGTTGCTGCAAGCCCGCCGGACGCTCCTTCGTCGAATCCGCCAGCCGCACCATTCTCAAGCCCGCCCGCCTCCGCTCACTCTAGCCGCTGGCCTCCACTCACTCTAGCCCACCGTGTGTTTCGTTGTGAAAGCGAAACTACTTTGTTTGGCCTTCCAAAAGAGGACATGACTAGAAATCAGTGGTTAAGTTGTATTTACAACACTGTTCCAGAACAGTTCAACCCAAATATTCAGATGTGTCCAGTGCATTTTATGGAGGACTGTTTCCTGATCCTAGTAGAGTAGACTACAGTGCCGGCTGTTCTGACTCACAGACTGTAAGTACGTTTTTTATATAATAGATTCAAACGCGAGTTTTGAGCAGTGTAGAGTAGGGCTTGTTGTTTGTCATTTCTCCGTTCACAAATGCAGACATGCTTTTATGTTTACGCAGTGCGATGCAACGCAACGCGTAAAAAGACAGTATAAATCATTATAATCAGTAATTATCAGCCTCGTTTATAATGGGTTTTAATGCAATCCCCTTAGTCAAAGGAACCAACTTCTTTCTGTCCACACATACTGTATTTTTAAAAAAAAACTAAAACTACAAATCCCTACGTAAGACTCCAAACCTCAGTCATATTTAAGCCATGTGTTTTAGCCTGTGGGCAAAATTTGTACATGTTGTGTCTTCAGTTTTGATCACTTTTAACAGATTTACATCAATGGGAAAAATTTCGAAAAATTGACCCTTATGACTGGTTTTGTTGTCCAGGGTCACATATACGTGTTATATGTTCTCTGGTGTGGTTCAGCTTCCACCATCACAGCACTGGCTGTCAGTGCTCAAACATGGATGGACAGCTAGCTACAGTGTCACATGACCCTGGATATCTAATGCTGCCATAACTCTGAATCTTGTTTGGCCTTTCTGTAGCACTCACATGTCACATGTTCACTCCTTTTTCAAAAACACCTGGTCACCTCTCACCCACTACAACCCAGCTGTGCTTCCTCAATCATCTGTATCTCAGAGTTATATCAAATGTCTTGTGTGTAGTCTGATATTAATTGAAGGTTGTGGTTTTGTCTACTGCAGTGTCACTGAGCTGAGCTTATGGTATGCAGATGGTCAAACCTCAAACTGTTTTGACTTTATTCCTGTCCGCAAGAATGTGTTTTATTGTATAAATTATTGTGAATATTATGACAGATTTTATTTTGCTTATTATTATGATTAATACTTATCACAAAAGGCAAACGTAAGCAGTCAGATCACCCCTCTGAGCTGAGCTTGCCTTATTGATGTGTATATATATATATATATATATATATATATATAATTTCATGTGCCTTATGACCAATAATATACTTACCTTAGAGGGTATTTGAAATCAGATATAGGATTGTAAAGTCTCTGTATTTGATAATGTTTTCTTTTCAATAAACAATTTATTCTATACCAGTAAATAGTTTGAAATAGGTGGAAAATCATTTTTTGTGTTGATGTCATATTTAAAACACAAATTTTGGAACAGATTGCATTTTAATTATTGATCTGAAATAACTTGGTAATATCAATTATAATTTATATTATGATTTAGTTTTCTGTTTTGAATTCACTTAAAATGTTAGTAATTACGTTGTGTGCTTATGTCTTCTTTTTTTCCAAAATATGTCTATATAGTTTTTATAATATTTTATTTTAGTTTGAGTTATTTTGGTATATGAGGTTAAACTAAATGAAACATATTACCTCGGCAACTACCTATATATATATATATATATATATATATATATATATATGTTAATATTTCAGCGTCAGAGGCGTGTTGCTGTTCAGTGCTGATTGTGGCGGCGCGCGGACTGCGGTGAGCGCTGGCAGCTTTTGCGTACGCTTGACGTCTCCTCTCTTTTTTCACTCTCTTTCCCGTTTCTCCCTCTATCTCCATACCGTCTCCATCTATCCTCCATCAACTCAGACCTCGCGGAAAGAAGGAAATACACTGTTGGAATGGATTAATAACGAGCAGATGAGATGGGCGCGTGATAGGAAGGATGGAATCGTTTCACCTTTTTCTCACAGTCCTCGCGCTTCGGGCCAGTCTCGCCTCCGCAGCAGATCGAAAATTCGGTAAGTGTTTTATAGTGTGCGTGTGTGTGTATGTGCGTTTCCGAAGGGAAAGGGCGAGATTACGCACGCGCCATGTCAATATAGTCACTATTAAAAGCTCGCTGATGAACTCAGGGTCTCCCCTCCGAGTCGTTTCCGATGTTCGTGACTGTTGTAGACAGAGTTCGTGTGTAATCTGATGAGAGGATGCGCGGATCTTCCTTACTGAGCCAATAAAGAAAGCGATCATTACATAACTGGGTCCGGAGCTCGAGAAACGATAATAGACACGCGGCCTGTTATCTTGACGAATGCATAGCATTAGCCTATTTATATTGTTTAATCATGTTATTAGTCTGAACATCAGATGGTTTGTGTGTTCAGGAGGGCCTGTGTCTGCAGTCAATGCAGCAGCAGCAGAGATCACAGCTCGCCCCTGCTCACAGCATGAGCCACAATAATAGAGTTTATACGAGTCTGTGTGTGATTCATAAACCCAGCCCGGAAAAAGGTCATACTGGCTGTCAGTCATTAGCAACTGCAACCATGGCAACAGGTTGCAGCATGTTTATTTTATATTGAATTGATTGCTGTAGACCGCATGAATGGCTGAATGGATGTACATTATAAACTGACATAATAGTCAGTCAAAAGATCAGCTAGGACTCCGAGCGTAAAACAGAAGGAGTTCCAAGACTTTCAAAGGTGAATTATCCTCCTGAGACCCTGCGGCCTCATATGAGGACATTATATTTTAGTGAATTTCTCTGAGACTATACATGCCACAGTTTTAAGTCTGGATGTCCTGTACGGAGCACATTCAGGGCTTTTCAGAGATACTAAATGTTTGGATGTTTCACCATGACCACTCACTCTCACTGGTTTTCAAATATGTCTGATATTAATTTAGTGACACTCTTATGGATATATGATAATATTTTGTAATTATCATTTAAATCTGTCTAATTTTTAAACTGTCTGTCATAAATCAACATCTCAGGAAAATGTTATGGGGTTTCAAATCAAAATATGACTTTCTGTTACGAAACAGGATATTGATTTCATACATTTCCTCATATGAGGACACCGGGACTGAAAGCATGTTTATTAGCATTTTGGGAGACATAACAAATGAATAGGGAACGAAATTGTTTCAATATTCTATGAAATATTATATATTATTATGAAAATCTTGTCAAATATTACTCCCATTATTACACTTCTTTTTTCATTACATGTTGCCCCAAAAACACATTAATATGCAAATTCGATTTAGTTTATAGATACATTGTATATAATGAGAAAAGCCGTTTATGGCCATTTTACACACATTTTGCAGAAAGAAAAATGGTATATCAAATCATTCTGTTATAACGTAGTTGAGAATCATCTTTATACAAAGTTTGGTAAAAAAAAAAAAATCCTGAAAACTAAAAATGTATTGGTGATTTTAAAAATCTATTGTTTTTGCCTATGCGTGTTCATTCATGTCTTTTTAAAAAAAAAATGTATTGAGTCCCGATGTCCATAACATAGCATAACTTATGAATGAAAAATAATTTATAAAAAACTTTTTTTTTTAACTTTTTTTTTAATGCTCTAAACAATGTAAAGACATGAAAAAAACTATTTTTTCCCTACAAATCTTTTCTCGGGTCTTAAGAGGTTAAATATGTATACAACTTAGATGTCTGGTGTGACTACAACTAGTGAGCCAAAAATTATTAAAACATGCTTATGAAATTAAATATTTTTCACGTCCTAATTTATACTTAATTTACTCAATGCTTGAGGTTTGTCAGCTCAAAGACAGCCAGTTAATGCAGAAGCATTTCAAATTATGTAAAAGTAATGTAAATTTAGATTGATATTGCAGTTACAGATAAATCTAATTTATTGATTGTATAAAACTAATACATGGGCAAATTTAACACCCGAGTTAATAAACACAGTTGCACAAAATGCTATTTTAATAGATTAATTTAATAGTGAAATTCCAGTTTATTCTATATTTATTTATTTGTTTCCAGGTGACATTTTAAACTATGCTTTATGCCATTTTTATTGTTTTATTTTTATCATTATTTTTATTTATTGTCTATGTCAGAGGTGCCCAAATTTTTTATTTTGAAGAGCCAAACTTGATCATGGGCCAAATGTAAAGCAAAGGAAAATGTTGCTTTATATCAAACTGTCCTATATTTAAAAAGAATAATAAATAATTACACAGAAATTCAAATAATTTTTTCAAAACTTTTAATTATTTTTAATCAAATATACTTTTTTAATGCAAAAAAATGTTAAAACAAAAATATAAATTGTAAAAGAAGATATGCTTCAATGCCTTGTTTTTCCCCCATATTTTTTCTTTGGTCTATTTTGTATTAAAGTAAATCTTTGATTTAAACCAAACATATGCTGGTAGCAGTTGTATTAAAGTGATACAACATTTGGCGATAGGTTTTTACTATAAAATAAAATAAAGCACTTTAAAGGTATAACTTTTGGAAATAATTCTCATTCAAAAAAAGGAAGTAGCCTAAGTGATTAGATACAGCCACAGGAAGTTACAGAGAGCACATATTAAAAAATGCCATTTCAGTGTTAACAGATTTTATGGTCTGTCCATCAATCCAGCATCTGCACTCAGCCCTCAGATGTTGCCCCATGCAGAAGGTGACATCATGGTTACACAGGAAACTCACCTCTGTGGCTCATAATTTGAGTTGATGAGTCATGAGTGTCAGTGGATTTACTTGAGAGGATGTCAGTGAGGAGACCGTCTGTCCACCATCATTCTGATGAACAGTGGCTGCAGCTTCACACTGCCTCCCCCAAAACTGAGCACGCAAACCGCTCTCCATAGTAACAGAGAGGCTTTAATAGAAATATAAAGGCAAGCATGCATTATGACGTTGTTTATGTGTATATGTGTCATGTGTGGGTGCATCCTGTTTGCTCTATTTGTGTGAACGCGTCAAAATACAATCATGCATCTTATGAAAATGAGAGGGGTGTGTGTGTATTAACCTTCAAAATGTTGAGCTATTTATATACTTATATGTGGATTATTTGGGTGATTAAACAAGTAATTTATTATTATTTTTAAACTAAGTAATAAAAATCAAGTGAACATTAGGCTATATGTCCACCAGGCTGTTTAATTCTAAATGATTATGTGGATAAACATCTTAGGGCTCTGTTGCTACTCTTTCTTTTTTTTCTTATTTAATCTAATTTTACATTTAATTCATTATCATCAACATTCAGATCCTGAGAAATAGCTATTTTCTGCTGAGACACTTGGTGTGAGAGGGTTTGTGTGAGCAGAATTTACTATGAATGATTTGTATGAATGTCAAACACTCTGCGGTAATACAGTACATCGGTACATCACCAGTGAGCAACAAAAATGTTAGATATTGTCTGACAATAAAGTTATATCATCATCTTCATGACAGATTTCAGTAACAGCAACATAATTATGTGATGTTGTTGGTCTTTATACAGGTGAGATGAGGCTGAGCAGAGTTATGCCATCTGTCTCAGCTGGTTTGATTAAGAAACAAGAAATCCCAGCTGTTAGGATGAGGATACTGAGCAACTGAATATACGCAAAAATGCTGTGAAGGGATGTTAAACATTTTTCTGCCCTCCCTCTTCTAAAACCTCACCTACAAAGATACCACAGCAATGCCAATGGTACAAAGGCACCATGCAGCCCAGAGGAAAATGTGATTGCTCAGATGTTGCTTTTTTTATACCTCAGGAGCTCTCATTTGTAATTCTTTGAAGTATACATTTTTCCTAGATGTTTCTCCTCTGATATACAGTAGAAGAAGAGCTCTATAAAACTGATGTGGACAGCATAGTTTGTGGACGAATTTGATGAGAAATGTTTGAGTTCATACTGAGATCTCTTTCCTTTGATTTCAGGCTTTGGTAGCAAATTGGAGCACACTTTGAAACATTGTTGAGATCACTGAAAAACTGTAGAGGAGTGATACCTCTGGACAGCTACTAGGGCTATTTTCCTAAAAATAAAAAGTTAAACGAAATCCTTTTTAATGCATGTCTACATTAAGAAAGTGAACTATATTATCATTCACACCAACAGATAATGCCCTGCATTTGTCATGTGTTGCTTTAAATGCTCAAGCTTTTAAATGTGGGCGGATTCTGATTGGCTGTCAATGTATTTTTCATTCATCCATCTGAAAGTGATTACAACAATATTGAATCTCTGTGTCATTATCGTTATTTCTGTGATCTGGACTTCACTATTCTAATAGAATTAGAAGAATTATTCAAACTTTTGAGTTATCGTTTTAATTATTGTCCTTTTTTGTGGTCCTTTATTTCTAATTCTTAAAATTCTGTTTCTGTCTTTCTCTTAGGCTGCCTGTTTGAGGAGGGTCTGTGTCTGAACTATGAAGTCTGTCTTAATGGTGAGTCACACACACACACACACACACACACACACATTCGGAACCTGCAGTCTCTGTAGATCTTATGCATCATGCTGTTTGATCAAGCACTCGACTTTTATTTTCTTCTAGATTCAGCAGCTGTGTGTTTGTGTGTCTAGCATTATCATGAATACAGTGCATTTAGTGCATTCAGTGCATCACAACAAATACAGACTCTCACTCATCCTATCAAACACACAAACACCAACACACATGCTGTGTTTAATATCATTTTTGTGTTGCTTAGCAACCGTTCCAAATTCTCCTCCACAAAGGTTGAAAGTCAGTATTTTTTGTTGGCATAATATGTTCCCACATTCCGTCAATGAGAGGGTAATATGAATGAAATCATTCACATTCGATATCAGCCAATCAGACTTAACCTACTCTCTTACTCATATGAGTGTGTTATTTTTATTTCATTCAGTGTGGCCTGACAGAAGATATATCACTGTTTTCTTCAACTCTCTGGTTGTTCAATTATTTAAAAAACAACAACAACAAAAAGAAAACAAATATTCTGGATTTGTGTTCATTATTTAATGTTGACAATGAGGAGATGAAAGCAAGTTTCAAGAAATAGATTTAAAATGACCAAAATAACCTGGGAATGGTATTAATAATAAAACCCAATTGAATAGAAATGGCTCATATATCATAAACATAAATAATAATATAAATGTCTAATAATACAAATATTATATATTATTAAATATAAACATATTGTATAAATAATATAACAATTATTATAGTAATATGCATTAAATAAATATGTGTAAGTCCTATTATTAGATAATTTAGTGAATTAAATACTGTACAAATGAAAGGTTCTTTGTCTCATTTGATTCCTTCTTTTTATTTGGAAATTTATCGGCAAAACAAACAGGTAAAATTGTTCATAACCGATTAATTAGTCTGGTATCAATGCAAAAACAGTTTCACAGTCTGTAACACTTGAGTTAAAAACAAAAGACTCAGTAAATCTATTATAAAATGAGAGTTTAGACTTTTATATACAGCTGATATAAACAGCACAGCAGGTTTATGGTTAATTATTTAATACATTTTTTCCATTTCATATTTTAATCAAAAATTCTTGCACCAAGAAGTAGTATTCAGTTTACCTCTATTTTCTTCTCTTTTATCTAACCCTTAGAATGAAAGACTTTATTCTTGCTGTAATAATAAGAATTCTAGATGTAAATGAGTTCTGTTTTGATTGGCATATGCAATAAATTACAATTTGACTCTCTGCATGTCACGACATATAGAATAATTTGCTGTGCTCCAATTACATACCGAATAATAACACAGAGAGATTTCCCCTCGTGTGAGTATAAAATAGAGATGCAAATGTAAATTTCTGTGCACACACACACACGGTGTGACCTTACTATCAGGCAGGTAACGGGGACTCCAGCTGGTCCTGTCTCAGTTGCCCCTAGTTTCTAATAAGCTGAGACTCTTAATGGATCTAAACACACACACACACACACAGAGCATGAAGTATACTTGTGCACAAAATTGTCTTTGATTTTCTCTGTAGATGGCATGTTCGGTCGCTGTGAGGCTGCGCCACTAACAGACGTCTACACGTATGACGTCACGCCAGCAACGGTACAGAGATTCCGCACGCTGCTTCAGAAACTGGCACACAGAGGTTGGTGCATTAATGTCACCATAGCAACCGCACACATCACTGTCACCATGGTTATAAAGTCTACTCTTAGAGCTCCTCAGAATTCAAGGATAAAATCAGAGGCTCTGTGTGTGTGTGACAATTCATGTAAGATGAGTGTGTGTGAAGTTTTCACATATCGAAATCTTCTGCTTTCATTCTGTTCCTCCAGGGTTGTCTTGGGAAGATGACGTCACACAACAAGTTTTATCGAAGGAGTTCTCAAAACTGCGCAAAGTTTCCCTACCATTACCAGAGCCCAGGTAAAGCACACTAGCATCTGCCAGTTAGTTCTCATCACAAATGAGAAATATTTTGCATAAACCATGCCCAAACCAGCTCCATATAAGGGCTTTCCACACAACTGAAAAAAACTTTATGGCTTTTTATCTAGCATAGCATGCTCTTTAAAGATGTTCACTTGCCTGAGAGACAAATAGCAAGATCCTCAAGCATGCTACCATCCTCAAAACCAGCTCAAAGACAATAAAAACCTTTTATACAGAGCTCTCATTAGCCAGCTGTACATTGACTTGAGATTTATGCAGATTATTTGACTTATCTGAGATGTATGCAGATAAACCTTGCATCTCAAACTATAATGCACCATCTTATTTTTATGTATGTATGTATGTATGTATGTATGAAATTTCATCTTAACACATTTATAACGCTACTCAGCATTTTTTTTGTGTATGTGTGGTTACTGTTGTTCCTACATTTTTCCATAAATGTTCAAATAAATTTTAGTACGGAAGAAAATGTTCATAGGCAAATTTCATGCATGGTTAGTGAATGAGACTAAATGTTTTTATTAAGGGTTATGAGGGCACATAGATTTAAAAAATAATAATAATAATGTGCACAGATAAATCATTTATAATTAACTTTGCAATATTCGAAAAAAAAGTTAGAATTGTTGATTTTTATTTCATGGTGGCGTTAATATTTTAAAAAGAAATTAAATGGAGACTTTTACTTAAATCTCCTACTTTTCTCCTGCAAAAAAGACTGTCTCTAACAGAGTTGTAGAACATCAGTAATCTCACACTGTGCTCAGATTTGCTTTAAAAAACTAATCAAATGTCAAAGTGAGAATTTAATATGAACATTTTTCATGGGAATCCTCCTAAACCAAATTATCTACTATACTCACCACATTAATTTGATAGCTTTTTATAGTCTATTCTCAGTTCAGTTATTTCAGTTTATCTGAGTAAAAGTTACTGATATAAGAGCAACTTCTCGATTAAAACTGTCCTCTTGGTAAGACCGCATATTCACAATACATTCATAGTTATAGTTGTATAGTTTCACAATACATAAAGTTTCAAAGAAGCTTTACAGAGAATATCTCTGATTATTACCTGTAATAGCCCTGCCAAAGGATTCCTATAGTCATGGCTTGTCTTTATTTTCTGACAGGCCACAGGGTTATGGGACTGCTGTTGGAGACAGGAGAATGAAATCATCCGACGCTGAGGTTAGGAAGACCCTGAAATACCTGCAGCAGCTGGGACTGCTACCAAAAACATCACACAAGGTAAGTGTGTGCGTCCTAGGGCTGTGTTTTTGGTTTTGCATTAGGTCAGAGATCTACATTGGGCATCAAGTGGTGACCGAACACAGTAGTAGAATTGTTTGTCAAATTAAAGTAAACAGAAATCTTGTCTTTAGGCCCAATATGTAAAATTATTAACATGACCGACTGAATAGGAAAATTGACAATCTGCTAAATGCACAAACACAGCTAGTGTGATTTACAAGTATATATATATTTTAAAATGATAATAGTAGCTGATAATGGTATAAATGTGTATGTTCATCCTGTGTAGGGGGTGGAGCTTCAGTATTATCGCTCTAGAGAACCACACCCTGAATCTGACTCCTCCCCGCCTGAGTTCATTCCAGAGGTGTCCTATAAATCCCAGTCCTACCCTGACCTAAGCCGATACCAGAGTGATGCAGCACAAGCTCCCAAGCAGGAAGAGGTGTCAGACCTGCTCACAGCCGCTCTTCAGAAGTATCTTTCCAAGAACAAACCGTCTCAGGCTGATCTGGGGGACAGATCCAGAACGGACCGGCTCTACTTAAAAGATGGATCAACAAAGTCTTCCGCCAGTGACTCTTTTACACCTGTGGATGGTATGATGTTATTTTCTTTTCCTTCTTGCTCCTGTTCACGTGCAGAATATTAAAGCTTGTCTTTTCCATACTCTCTAAGGACAATAAAACAACAAACAGTACCATAGAAAAAGTACAGACTAGACTATTAGAGTCCAACGATAGCTTTATATGAGGAGCAATTCAATGGTTCAGTGTGTAATTTTTTATTAATTTAGTAGAAAAAAATACAAATGCTCCTATCCCAGTGTAATGCGAAGAGATTTGTTTTTTTGCTATTTAACTAGTGACACAATGTAAACAGTTCATAGCCAACCATCTATTGCATGATGTTGCCTCATGATAATGCAGTGTCATTTTAAAATCTTTTTTGGCATGTGGAGCAAATAACATAAAAATATAAAATATAAAATGCTTTGGAGATTGACCCCGCAGAAAAACCTTTATTTATTTTACCTATAATATTTTTCTGCATTTGTTTGATTTAAATAATATTAATCGTTTTATGAAAGATTTGAATTTGATATCATTATTATTACTGTCTGATTACTGTCCAGATCTTAATGTGAAAAAAGGTTAACTTTTTCTCAGAAACCTTTATCTGGAAAGTTCTGCGTAATGTGGGAAGGCACAGTGTGCATGTGAAGAGTCTGAAGGCAGCAGAACTGGATAAGCTTGCTGTGCTTATCGCAGACGCTCTGCAGGTGGAGAAACAGCAGGCAGGTCAAGGAGAAACGCCTAGAGACCTGGCGACACAGCAGAGTTCTGAGGATGAGGCAGAAGACATGCAATATGACGACCAGCATCCTGAGAGTTATGCAATGGATCAAACCCCTGAAGACAGTGCTCAGAATCAGAGGGAAGAGGATGAGGAAAATTCATCTGTCACTCAAAAGGCAGTCCAAACCATTCTGCCTGTGACAGGTAACATCTTCTGAAGCAAAGCCATTCACTCATACATAGACAGGCATTTATAACGATCATGATGTTTCTTTTTCAGAGGGACAGACAGTAGTTGAGGTGAAGAGGACTATGGACAACAAGGTAGTACTATGGTTGTATTAGGCCATAAATATACTTTACGCAAATACACAAACACAGATGTTTTCTTGCCAGTCTTAATGTTAGATCTGTTAACCTCGAAATAAATATTTTTTTCAATTTAGTGACAAAGTAGAATCTACCTAGAAAGAATTGGTATTCATTGGAATTGGTAACTTTTCAGATTTTCCTGTAGGGGATTGATTGAGTGATAAATTACATTTCAGTTAAATAAATTAAAATAACATAAATATGATGTGGAAATTTCCTTCAAGGGTTGATTTACAATTCACCTGTGTTTATTTCCTGTTTTAGCAGGATGTGGGCTTTTTAGGAAAGCTGCTGGAGTACCTGGATAAAACCTCCAGCTCAGAACCAGAGCCTGTTGATAAGGGACAGGGCGTGTCTGTGGAGACAGTTCGTAGCCGAACGACACACAGTGAGGTGGGGATGCAGAAAAAGGCCATAGAGAGAGTGGAGGAGGTAGAAGGCTGGGTCCATGCAGCAGCTATAGCGCCCTCCTCTGGGCTGAAGGACAACCCTGCACCACACCGCAAGAACATGAAAGTACAGGATCTTCAGCTGGATGTCCAAAGCAACCCTAAAAATGACGTCTATGGATACATTATTACTGATACAGAGTGAGATATTTACATGTGAAGCTTTCTCTCTCCCTCTTTTTCTTTCTCTCTCAGTTACATTTTATTGGCCAGTTTCTTCACAAAATATTGCCAAAGCATTCAGTCAGTTCTTAAGCAATACTGTACTGGGGACAATTCCCACACAAGGCTATGTTTATTTGATAATAATGTGAAATAGAAAATATAATTACAATTTAAAATAACTGCTTTAGGTTTTAATATATTTTAAAATGTAATTTATTCCTGTGATGGCAAAGCTGAATTTTCAGCATCATTACTCCAGTCTTCAGTGTCACATGATCCTTCAGAATTCATTCTAATGTGCTTAAACATTTATAAGGATTCAGGATTGTTTGATGAATAGAAAGTTAACAAGAATTGCATTTATTTGAAATATTGTTTGCAACATTATACATTTACAGCATTTACAGTACCTTTTGATCAATTGAATACATCCTTGCATAATAAAAGTATTAATTAACACTAAAAAGAATCTTAAAGTCCCCAATATTGTATTATAATTTTGTGCTTTACTCATTATAATTTTTTATTGCATTAAAATCAATAGCTTTTTAAGATCTTAAAAAAAAAAAAACATTTTTCTTTCTCTCTGGATCAGGAATCTTCCCACTGATAAGGGTTTGTATCTGATGGAGATGGTGGCTCGTAAATCGAAGATTCAAATGACGGATTTCTCAGAGCTCTCGTGAGTCATGATTTTTTATTTTGGTTACTTGCACTATAGAATAGGTTTAGAATATAATGGTAAATTTAGAAATTAAGTTGAGTAAAATATATAGTTAGGTTATATTGGAAGGCATATTTAAATCCTAGTAGTAGTTTTATAAACACAGTCAGCATAAAATGAAAATCGACTGTATTTTCCATTTTTCTATGATTTATCCATGTATATGTTTTATCTTTTAAAAATAATTTAATTTGTATATTTTAATTAAAATATCATAACTTGATCTTCTGGTGAAACAACAGGCTTTTCTTTGGTGCCTGACTTCTCCTTTACTTCACTTAAACTCGACCCTTTCTTACAAACAGCTGCAAGCTCACATTCATCAACAACCGATGGACAGAACCAAGTCCCCATCCTACATTTTTTCTTTTTCAGTAATTACATCACAATACAGAAGAAAAGATCTGTTACTACTTCCTTTTCATCATGACTTTTTTAAAGGTCTGAGAATAATTTAATGGGTGACTTCAGTTTTTAAAAATGCAATTTATTGTATTAATAAGTTTTATGGTGTCATGAAACAGAAGAATGCAACACAGGTAATATCCAAGCAACAGGTTTATTGCAGGTTGGAACAGACAAGCATGGATAGCAGGTGAGTAATGGGAAAATAGATCAATGCAGAGATAGTGTCAGTGGATAACATTGTCTGTTTCAGGTTTGGGATCAATGTTGTTTGTGAGCCGGATCTTGAAGCAGGAGGCGGGCAACTGAAGACTGAAGGAAAAAAAAAAAAATCCTGAAAACTAAAAATGTATTGGTGATTTTAAAAATCTATTGTTTTTGCCTATGCGTGTTCATTCATGTCTTTTAAAAAAAAAAATGTATTGAGTCCCGATGTCCATAACATAGCATAACTTATGAATGAAAAATAATTTATAAAAAACTATTTTTTTAAACTTTTTTTTTAATGCTCTAAACAATGTAAAGACATGAAAAAAACTATTTTTTCCCTACAAATCTTTTCTCGGGTCTTAAGAGGTTAAATATGTATACAACTTAGATGTCTGGTGTGACTACAACTAGTGAGCCAAAAATTATTAAAACATGCTTATGAAATTAAATATTTTTCACGTCCTAATTTATACTTAATTTACTCAATGCTTGAGGTTTGTCAGCTCAAAGACAGCCAGTTAATGCAGAAGCATTTCAAATTATGTAAAAGTAATGTAAATTTAGATTGATATTGCAGTTACAGATAAATCTAATTTATTGATTGTATAAAACTAATACATGGGCAAATTTAACACCCGAGTTAATAAACACAGTTGCACAAAATGCTATTTTAATAGATTAATTTAATAGTGAAATTCCAGTTTATTCTATATTTATTTATTTGTTTCCAGGTGACATTTTAAACTATGCTTTATGCCATTTTTATTGTTTTATTTTTATCATTATTTTTATTTATTGTCTATGTCAGAGGTGCCCAAATTTTTTATTTTGAAGAGCCAAACTTGATCATGGGCCAAATGTAAAGCAAAGGAAAATGTTGCTTTATATCAAACTGTCCTATATTTAAAAAGAATAATAAATAATTACACAGAAATTCAAATAATTTTTTCAAAACTTTTAATTATTTTTAATCAAATATACTTTTTTAATGCAAAAAAATGTTAAAACAAAAATATAAATTGTAAAAGAAGATATGCTTCAATGCCTTGTTTTTCCCCCATATTTTTTCTTTGGTCTATTTTGTATTAAAGTAAATCTTTGATTTAAACCAAACATATGCTGGTAGCAGTTGTATTAAAGTGATACAACATTTGGCGATAGGTTTTTACTATAAAATAAAATAAAGCACTTTAAAGGTATAACTTTTGGAAATAATTCTCATTCAAAAAAAGGAAGTAGCCTAAGTGATTAGATACAGCCACAGGAAGTTACAGAGAGCACATATTAAAAAATGCCATTTCAGTGTTAACAGATTTTATGGTCTGTCCATCAATCCAGCATCTGCACTCAGCCCTCAGATGTTGCCCCATGCAGAAGGTGACATCATGGTTACACAGGAAACTCACCTCTGTGGCTCATAATTTGAGTTGATGAGTCATGAGTGTCAGTGGATTTACTTGAGAGGATGTCAGTGAGGAGACCGTCTGTCCACCATCATTCTGATGAACAGTGGCTGCAGCTTCACACTGCCTCCCCCAAAACTGAGCACGCAAACCGCTCTCCATAGTAACAGAGAGGCTTTAATAGAAATATAAAGGCAAGCATGCATTATGACGTTGTTTATGTGTATATGTGTCATGTGTGGGTGCATCCTGTTTGCTCTATTTGTGTGAACGCGTCAAAATACAATCATGCATCTTATGAAAATGAGAGGGGTGTGTGTGTATTAACCTTCAAAATGTTGAGCTATTTATATACTTATATGTGGATTATTTGGGTGATTAAACAAGTAATTTATTATTATTTTTAAACTAAGTAATAAAAATCAAGTGAACATTAGGCTATATGTCCACCAGGCTGTTTAATTCTAAATGATTATGTGGATAAACATCTTAGGGCTCTGTTGCTACTCTTTCTTTTTTTTCTTATTTAATCTAATTTTACATTTAATTCATTATCATCAACATTCAGATCCTGAGAAATAGCTATTTTCTGCTGAGACACTTGGTGTGAGAGGGTTTGTGTGAGCAGAATTTACTATGAATGATTTGTATGAATGTCAAACACTCTGCGGTAATACAGTACATCGGTACATCACCAGTGAGCAACAAAAATGTTAGATATTGTCTGACAATAAAGTTATATCATCATCTTCATGACAGATTTCAGTAACAGCAACATAATTATGTGATGTTGTTGGTCTTTATACAGGTGAGATGAGGCTGAGCAGAGTTATGCCATCTGTCTCAGCTGGTTTGATTAAGAAACAAGAAATCCCAGCTGTTAGGATGAGGATACTGAGCAACTGAATATACGCAAAAATGCTGTGAAGGGATGTTAAACATTTTTCTGCCCTCCCTCTTCTAAAACCTCACCTACAAAGATACCACAGCAATGCCAATGGTACAAAGGCACCATGCAGCCCAGAGGAAAATGTGATTGCTCAGATGTTGCTTTTTTTATACCTCAGGAGCTCTCATTTGTAATTCTTTGAAGTATACATTTTTCCTAGATGTTTCTCCTCTGATATACAGTAGAAGAAGAGCTCTATAAAACTGATGTGGACAGCATAGTTTGTGGACGAATTTGATGAGAAATGTTTGAGTTCATACTGAGATCTCTTTCCTTTGATTTCAGGCTTTGGTAGCAAATTGGAGCACACTTTGAAACATTGTTGAGATCACTGAAAAACTGTAGAGGAGTGATACCTCTGGACAGCTACTAGGGCTATTTTCCTAAAAATAAAAAGTTAAACGAAATCCTTTTTAATGCATGTCTACATTAAGAAAGTGAACTATATTATCATTCACACCAACAGATAATGCCCTGCATTTGTCATGTGTTGCTTTAAATGCTCAAGCTTTTAAATGTGGGCGGATTCTGATTGGCTGTCAATGTATTTTTCATTCATCCATCTGAAAGTGATTACAACAATATTGAATCTCTGTGTCATTATCGTTATTTCTGTGATCTGGACTTCACTATTCTAATAGAATTAGAAGAATTATTCAAACTTTTGAGTTATCGTTTTAATTTTTTTGTGGTTTTGTGGTCCTTTATTTCTAATTCTTAAAATTCTGTTTCTGTCTTTCTCTTAGGCTGCCTGTTTGAGGAGTCTGAACTATTGAACTATGAAGTCTGTCTTAATGGTGAGTCACACACACACACACACACACACACACACATTCGGAACCTGCAGTCTCTGTAGATCTTATGCATCATGCTGTTTGATCAAGCACTCGACTTTTATTTTCTTCTAGATTCAGCAGCTGTGTGTTTGTGTGTCTAGCATTATCATGAATACAGTGCATTTAGTGCATTCAGTGCATCACAACAAATACAGACTCTCACTCATCCTATCAAACACACAAACACCAACACACATGCTGTGTTTAATATCATTTTTGTGTTGCTTAGCAACCGTTCCAAATTCTCCTCCACAAAGGTTGAAAGTCAGTATTTTTTGTTGGCATAATATGTTCCCACATTCCGTCAATGAGAGGGTAATATGAATGAAATCATTCACATTCGATATCAGCCAATCAGACTTAACCTACTCTCTTACTCATATGAGTGTGTTATTTTTATTTCATTCAGTGTGGCCTGACAGAAGATATATCACTGTTTTCTTCAACTCTCTGGTTGTTCAATTATTTAAAAAACAACAACAACAAAAAGAAAACAAATATTCTGGATTTGTGTTCATTATTTAATGTTGACAATGAGGAGATGAAAGCAAGTTTCAAGAAATAGATTTAAAATGACCAAAATAACCTGGGAATGGTATTAATAATAAAACCCAATTGAATAGAAATGGCTCATATATCATAAACATAAATAATAATATAAATGTCTAATAATACAAATATTATATATTATTAAATATAAACATATTGTATAAATAATATAACAATTATTATAGTAATATGCATTAAATAAATATGTGTAAGTCCTATTATTAGATAATTTAGTGAATTAAATACTGTACAAATGAAAGGTTCTTTGTCTCATTTGATTCCTTCTTTTTATTTGGAAATTTATCGGCAAAACAAACAGGTAAAATTGTTCATAACCGATTAATTAGTCTGGTATCAATGCAAAAACAGTTTCACAGTCTGTAACACTTGAGTTAAAAACAAAAGACTCAGTAAATCTATTATAAAATGAGAGTTTAGACTTTTATATACAGCTGATATAAACAGCACAGCAGGTTTATGGTTAATTATTTAATAAATTTTTTCCATTTCATATTTTAATCAAAAATTCTTGCACCAAGAAGTAGTATTCAGTTTACCTCTATTTTCTTCTCTTTTATCTAACCCTTAGAATGAAAGACTTTATTC